CTGGACAATATGACCACATCAGATCCAAAGTGACATTGACACAGAAAAGAAGTGCACTTTATACAGACAGAAAGAGAGGTGCTAAACCTACTAAAGTGACTGTGGGTGCGTCAGTGAGAGTACGAAAGCCATTCCATGTGGGAAAAGGAGAGCCACAATACACCAAGCCGCTGGAGGTACAGCAGCAGACGGGTGAGAGTTCTTTCATCCTCAGCGATGGGAGAAGATGGAATGCAGCACGTCTCTCACTTGTCCCAGAGAACTCAAAACACACACAAAGAGCTGATACAGAGACAGAAAACATCAGCTCAGCACAGACTGCTACACGTCCCACACTGCAGAGGGACAGACAACCACCAAGATGGACAAAAGACTTTGTTATGAAATAGTTCAGAGGTACAAAGAAAGGAGAAATATGCAGATGTGAGAAATGACTGTGAAGGGAAAGTGCATTTGAGTTTCATTAGTTATCTTTAATTCCAGCTGTGACTTCTGATAAGCTGAGAAGAGGGCACATGGTTGTTACTGTTGATTCAGGGTTGATCCGGGGCACGTTTACTTTGCCATTACAGTTCTTTTATCAGGATATATATATAATACTATTCTGAAGTTACTAATTCCCTCAAAAGTAAAAGGCTGTCGAATGTTTCATGTTGTGCTACAAGGGAAAGAGTATTATTTGAGAAAAGGGGGAGATGTTGTGTTTACAAGGTTCTATAATAAGGGAAGAAAATTAGTACATGCTGTTACCCTGTCAGACCAGGGGTGTCGCTAATGAGGCTGGGTAAGAGAAAGAGGAGAAGAAGAAAGTAGAGAGCGAGAACAAGATGGAGCTCCGCTGTAAAGCCTAAAATAAAGTGTTGAACCCAGACGTCGCCTCCGCTGCCTGATTACACACCCAACATTTGGGTTCCTAGATTCTTTAAAAGTAGAATGGGAGGTAGAGCCTTCATTGTTCTGTGGAACCATCTCTCAGTTTGAATTCGGGAGAAAGACGCCCTCTTTACTTTTAAGATTAGACCTAAAACCTTCCTTTTGGCGAACGCTTATAGTTAGACCTGGATAAGGTGACCCTGAATCCTCCCTTAGTTATGTTGCTATAACCCTAGGCTACGAGGGGCTTCCATTGATCTACTGTTTCTTGTTCACTCACCTTTTTCTCTCTATGTGCTTATCCTGCCCTCACGACACGTGACCATGTGAAGCTAGACAGCAAGCGAACAAAATAGAGGAGATCTTCCACACAAGGCTTGCTTTTCTTGCTTTTAATGAAGATCCTTTAAAGCCTTATCTCTCTCAAGGCTTCTCCTTGCTATTTCTTATTTGTAATTGAAATATACAGAAAATGAAAATAAATTGCTAGCTAATACACATCTTAATGACAAACTTAGCCTAGCTTAACACGTGCGTTACATTAGCATCGCAGTTCACTCCAGGTAAACACATATAAAGGTTGTTTCTGAACATATTAATACTCCAAAGACGAACGTTTCCCAAGGTACAAGCGTGTAGGGCACTCTTAGCGTGTACATGAACTCGTTCACTCTTTTAATACTGCCGAAGCACTTTTCACAGCATTAACGGAGAAAACACGTCAAAGATATGCGAATAATCAGAGCGCTCCCTCGCTCCCGTTTCCGCACGTACAATACAAAGATTGCTTGTGATAACGATGTCTCACTCTGAGCAAATTTCGAACCCAGACATTTTAACTGTTTTTAGCATGAGTTACTTATAATATTTCTTAACTTTGAACTTATTTATCACTTTGCTTATGTAACTTAATCAGACTATGCATTAACTATTGACTTCTGACCAAAAGGCATAACAGTGCTTATGTAGCCTACTCTGCATTTAATTATTAGCTATTATTAATGTCTGGTTCACTTCCACGGGGTAATTTTTGTCCTGTGTCTCTCCCATCACCTCTGACTGGTCATGGTGACTTACTTAAGATGTTTCGTCTGGATGCAGACAAGGGTTTCAACCAATTTTTGTAAGACTCTGCAGAAATATGTATGGCTGTGCTGAACTTTCCATGAACGGAACATCCTTCCAAGGTGAGGATTATAACACTAAACACAGCAAGATAGCGCTCAAATGAGTAGCAGCTGATCCCGTCTACCCCAGAGATTTCCTGCTTTGCGGTATTGTTGTTGAAGAGCATATGGTTTACCATGACTGATGACTAGCACTTGCTGGAAATTGTATGACCTCCGTGATGCTTCACATTAAGTTGGCGGTATTGTGGGTATGCAAAACCCACAGAGTGGTTGAATCAATATTGTCAAACTAAAACAGTCACAGAGGGCCTGTGAAAGAATGACCTAAATTTGAGATGACAGTTTAAATTGGAAAATAAAGTTGGAATTTAACTTTATATCCACAGAAGACACAGGGTGCACATTTAAAAGAGAGAAACCCATGTGGATTCACCCCCAAATACAATTTGCATTCCAAGACACTTGTGATGGAGCTGTTTTTTTTCTTGTTGCATAAAGACTTAAACATAAGCGGTTAGCCACAATTACAGGCAACATGCATACAGCTACTATTGGAGACTGATAGAAAGTCTCTCTACAGTGAGTGCCAAACCAAAACTGTTGCACAGACACAAATGCAGGAAATGTGTCTCAGAATAAAAGCTTGCTGAAACACTGCCCTCTGATTGGCATCTACTGCTTAACTTATTATCAGGGATAAGGAAACAAAGTTTTTTGCACACACTGGGTTTTGAAAAGCAAGGAGAAAGAGTAAAGCTTGGATGTTTCTTAAGAAACACAAAGAACTAAAACGGACAACAGAACACTATAATTTAGTGTTGTTTAAAAACAGTAAGGTTGCTGGTTGTAGGAAAAATGTAAAAAGGCATTAGAAGTAACCTAAAGCAGGAAACATTGAAATCTTAGATGGCTCAAGTTTCATACAGCTTTCAGTATCTGCGCTTACTTTTCACAGAGGAAGGTTGAAAACGCTAAATCACGTTAGGATTTCTGTTTAAGCAATTTGTCAGTTTTCAGTCATCCTACATGTAATTGCGGTATAATCACACTCTCATTTAATTATTACACATGGCATGCACAGTCGGTCGGGGGTGCTCCAAATATTTATTGCCATTTGGAGACCAAATTAATACGTGCATGTTTTTACTTCTGTGCCTCAGCCAAGCAGATGAAGGTTAAAAGAAAACTGATGCCATTTTATAGCCATCTGTTTTGGATTTGAAACATAAAAATTTGCCATTTGAGCAGATTTGATCTGGCCTTCATCTTTGTGATAAAAAAAAGGACCCAATAATTACAATAAAACTCATAATGGCTCACAGTCTAATGTGTTCCTTAAATCATTCATTGCGTTTTGTAACAGCTGTCATTTCAATGAGGCTTTGAGGCTGGGTTTTGGTTTAGCTTGAGTGCCATTCATTTTACAATTTGAGAGGTTATCAACATTCATCTTAAAGTCTTCTTAAATAGCCTGATCAAATTTTATTTACATATACATATAAGCCAGAGTCTAAAGTATGGATGATTGTTTGAGGTAACAAGTAATGTGCCAGTTTATTTAACTTTTCACAGAAATGTGAGTCCAGCATAAGCTCCCCTCACTTTGTTGACAGTACGCTGAAAAGCAACAAATGTCAATGTTTTTGCAAACTGGCTATAGCTTAAAAAGAGATACTTTCCACGTACTGTAACCCCAACCCACCACGGATTTTTTTTAAATGAACATTAACAATAAGCAAAGGATCAATGAGACTGTGGCAGCGGTGTGGACTCTGGCTCAGCTGCAATGGAGGGGTGGTACGGTAAGATCACGGGGCTGTGCCGGGAGGACGGAGAGGACAGGTGAGATGGATTACAACTAATGAACTCGGCCCCTTTCTAGTGCCCGGACTCAGGAACGAGCGGTGTGCTTTCTGTGGGAAGGAGCTGGAAAATATATTCGGTGCCGAAGCAGTGATGCTATATTTAAAAATAAAGGTGCTCAGAGTGTGTCACTTTGAGAACTTTTATTTTTAAAGGTGTGGGTGTTGAACACAGTGTGGGTCCTGATCATATCACAGAGACATTAAAAAAAATTCGAGGAAAGTAATGACCACTTAAATGAGCAGGCTTCGATCACAAAGAAAAATATGCATAATAGATACAATCCATGAATCCTCTGCTTGGTGTTTTGCTCTCTAATATTGTAGGTCTTTCCTTTGCAGTGTATATGCACGATGAGGTGACTGTTATTGTTGGTTAGCGTTATATAAATTAAATCGAACTGAACTGAGCTCAATTAACCATTGACAGAGCATTGTGTTCTGTCAATTTAAGAAGCAAGGGATTAAAGATCAATCCATAGTGATGACAGTTCACTAAGTGCAATTCCTGTCTCTGGTTTTTATTAATGGCAGGATTATATATACACTAATAATAATAATAATAATAATAATAATAATAATAATATAGCAGTATTAGCTTCCATTTATATATTTGTTGACAGATAGATAATACAAATATGTAAATAATGCAATTACACATTAATTCATTTAATTTAGCAGGGAAAAATAAATGTTAAATGCTGTTAAACAAAATACTATTATTGATTAGCATATGCTACAAATGCATCATTTGGCCCACTCATTGGAGTTTTGGCGCCACTAAGTGGTGAATTGATAGAACAGATTCCTAATAATAAAGATAATAATGATTACTGTTTCCATCATTCTTTAGAAGCTTTTGTATGCCTGTTATTTTTAATATGTTCTCCATATTATCGGGTTAACAAGCAGCTTATGAGACCCTGTCATAGATGCTGGTGCATGATTGTGATTTAAATGAGCTGGATGAAAACCTCACATTATTATAACGTTTGTGAGCGTTTTATGTCTCGTTACATGTCTCGCGCTTCTGCTTGAAAAATAAGTCTCCGTCTTCTACGGGAAGTACACTAGGACATTCTTCCGACAGTACGGGGCAAGGTTGCCATGGTAGCAGTTGTTAAACACTGTTGAACAGTAGCTAACTTTTGCTATTGTAGCCAGTACGCGTTACTTTCACGTGTTTTTAAAAATACTTTTGTAATAATAGTAATTTCGACAATTTCCTCTGTTTTTCGCGGTCAGGGCATCCATGTCAAAGTATAAGGTAAAAAGAAAGAAGCGACATTGTTCCCATAACAAAGATGTGGATGTGGCATTGCCTAGCTGCTAGAGTTATAACTTACTTACGGGATACACATGCTAATAATTTAATAATCAAAGCAGAAGAGTGCTGTTCAGCGTAGTATTCAGTTGTCTGAAAAACACACTCGTTGACCTTGGGTTATCCCAACTTTGTGGTGTTAAAACTGAAATAAAATAGTAACACATGAGAGCCACAAATTAGGAGGAAGTTGGGGTTAAGCAGCAATTTGCCAATTCTGAAAAATTGCTTATTGACAACATTTTTCAACATCTTACAACTTCACACTCAATTACCAATTAAGCTGGAAGTTGTCAAGTGTTTGTAAAGCTAACTTTTTTCACTCCTCACAGCCACTGAGTTCTTTTTGCTTCCTTTACCTTTACAGGCATATGGATACAAAGGCTCATATGAAGAGCGGTAAGTGTTGTTCGTAATTTGATTGTACATTTAAAAATACATGTACTGTGATGCAATGTTTCCTCAGGGAAGGAAGAAGCTGTGTGCGCTACAAATGTGGCCTGCCTTGTAACACCATACAGGATGTCTTGCACCAAAGACCAAACTGGATTGAAGTTAAAGAGTGAGTAGATTGATATTTTAGAAAGACTCTGTGGAATTATGTGCAGGATTGCATATATAGAAGGAAATCAGGAACATTCCCCAGAGAATGCTACACCAGGGATGGATGGCAGCGGTGTCTTTGATCCTGCAGCTTTCTTTTCTCCTCCTCACAGTGATGGTGAGTGGGACTTCAACTGGTGTGATGTGGGATGGCTGAGGGAGAATTTTGATCATACATACATGGAGGAGCACGTAAGGATAAACCACTTTCGCAACCATTATGAGGTGAGTTATCATCAGCCTGTGGTTTCATGTAACTGTTAAATGGACATTTTAGTGGTAAACAAGTCATTTCCTTTGTTTCTATGTTTTGCACTACAGCTGACTCGCAAAAATCTTATGGTGAAAAACCTCAAGAGATACCAGAAACAGCTTGAAAGGGAGGTTGGTTGCATAGAAGCATCCAACTGTGATTTTTTCCCTTGCACTTTTGCAATGCCCAGTGAGTATCATCTCTTTGTAGAGGAATTCAATCGAAGCCCTGGCAACACCTGGATCATGAAGCCGGTTAGTTAAAAAACAAGCAAAGAAAAAAACAAGTAACCAGGTGCAAAAACAACAAAAAAAAGTTTTTATGACCTCAGAAAGTAAAAATAAGTTATAACCATGCTGCTCCGATACCATGAAAATATATCTCTTTTGTCTAGGTTGGAAAATCTCAAGGCAAAGGCATTTTTCTGTTTCGAAAACTGAAAGACATCATAGAGTGGAAGAAGGTGGGGTTATGTAAAGAACTGGTTGTAAGTTAAACTGCTAAAAGGAGACATTTTGAGAGTCTGATTGATAATACTCACACAGGATGGTTACCGCTCAGAGGAACAGAAGGACGGAGTTCAAGTGAAAAGCTATGTGGCACAGCGCTATATAGAGAACCCTTATTTAATCAATGGTAATGAGCATGCTAAAATAATACAATTTAATATAATTAATTTACAGTTTCATTTAACATACAATGAAAATTGACAATACTTTGTTTAGCAATGTTGACTGTTGTCGATGAGAAAATATCCTTGCTTCATTACCTTTTATGCTTTTTTCCCCAACAGGCAGAAAGTTTGATATGAGGGTCTATGTGCTGGTCACATCAGTATGTACTGATCCCTGTAGCTTGCATAGTTTTATATAAAATGAAAAATCTGCTGCATGTTAAAATCAGTTTGTCTCTCTTTCAGTATGTACCCCTGAAAGCCTGGCTGTATCGAGACGGCTTTGCGCGCTTCTCAGGCATTCGCTTTTCCCTCAGCAGTATTGATGACAAGTGTATCCCTTTTTCTACTATTGTTGTTGGGGTTTTTTTGCATTAAATTGAATGCTGATACATTTACTAATATACATTTAGCCCTGGGTTATCAGCATAATAAATTTAGGCTCTGTCTAATGAATTGTCATGTAAAAATAAATTTTAAATAGCTCAGTTTGGCCACATTTCCGAGACTGTCACATCCTAATTTTTTTTTTTTTTTTTTGCTTTTGTCCATGTTGAATCCCATCAGTAAAGTTTTCTCCTTAGCACCTATTTTCAGATATGCATCTCACCAATGTGTCTGTTCAAAAAACAGCACCTGACTATGATCACGAGAAGGTGTGTAATTCAGGAACCTCAAAGAAAAAGAGCTCATGTTACTTTTATGTTCTGAAACATGTCTGTTTTAAACAGCTTTTATCTCTTTATTGCTGCATTGTTTCATCCAATGATAAGCAGGGATGCAAGTGGCAGATGCAACAGCTTCGAAGATACCTGACTGCAAAACACGGCAGAGAGATGGTAGAAACCCTGTTTAAAGAGATGGACAACATCTTTGTCCGCAGTCTGCAGAGTGTACAAAAGGTCATTATTAATGACAAACACTGCTTTGAGCTCTATGGTTATGACATACTACTGGATCAGAACCTCAAACCGTAAGTCTATAAACACATGCCAACACAGTGCACTATCATATTTACGTGTATTTCTAAACATACACTACTAAACCATGCATGTCTATGCTTAAGAATTTTTGGGTTTCTCAATGGCCTGAAATAACTTGTATTACATATTTATAAAATAAAACTGAAATAAATACCTAAGGTAGGAGAATTCACTAGAAATGCATGAATAACCACAAACGAAATGCTCAGCATATCTGATAAGCTGAGAGCTGGGCTGTGCTAAATTACAGCGCACGGATTAATTAAAGCACCTCTGTCCACTGCAAATACTAGCCATCCTTAATGAACTGTCTGCTGTACTCGTGGATTGGCCCACAGTGGCATGAAAGTAAATGTTTGCTGAACATAATCAACCCTTCATCTTTCCACAGGTGGTTAATTGAGGTGAATGCCTCTCCATCACACACGCCCAGCTGTCAGGAGGATTACGAGATGAAATGCAGACTGCTGGAAGACACTTTGAATGTTGTGGATATGGAGGGAAGGTAAAGACCTCATTCATATGTTTTTCCGTTTTGTCATTAGGGAGCAGAGTTCGAGGACTTCCCCTCCCTGCAGTCATTTTATATGGTCTGAGCCTGGATTATAGCACATTTAAAAGTTAAGAATGTGAGTGTGAAGAAGCACTTTTGAAAAGCTTACTTCCATTTCCTTTTTTTGCATACTGTGTTCTAATGGACTGTTTTCTCCTTAGGCTCACTGGGAAGGAGAAAAGAGTGGGTGGCTATGATCTCATGTGGAATGATGGTCCTGTCTACAGAGAGGATGCCAACCTACAAACATTTGGCAGCTCAGGTTTCACAGCCAACACACACCTAGGTAGCCTAAATGTGCTGCTCCTGGTTTTTTTTTTTCCTTTTCTTTTCGAGGCAACAGTAATTCCCATTCTAAGAACCTCTTCTTTGTTGCAGGGTGTGTAAACGACAGAGAGAAACAGCTCCGCCAGCTTCTAAAACCATTTCCATGCCAAAGGAAGGCATAATCAGATTGAGATTTTCTACTACAATGCTGCTACTCCAGTACTTAGTGTTAAAGATTGAATAATCAGGGTGGCATTGAGGGGTCTAATTAAGCGGCCAGCTATGGGGAAATACATCTCTAATGCTTTATACAGTTATCTGTGCAGATCTGATGCTTAAAATCTACTACAAACCATGTAACAACCCTACATTACATTCAACAAGAAATACACCAGTACAGAGGGTTTTTCTTTTGAATCCAATACTGTAATCAATGTGCTTGAATGGCAGCGTGTGTTTGCATGTTTGCATGCACAATGTCAATGACAAAAACACTTGTGAATCTGGCACCATTTCTTCAGGTGCTTCAAAGAATGACCAACAGACCAGTGCCGCTTGTGTGCAAAACATTTATTTCTATGCCTTACAAATACTCGCATTCAACATTGAGAAAATACTGTACATACCACAATCTTTCTGCGTGCATGTCGATGTAATGTACACATTTAGAACAACACTGCCACTCCAGGCCCCTTATCTATGGCTTTGATAGTTTACATAGATATTTAAGTTAAGAGGTGCAGTCAGAATAAGTAGCACATTTACAGTGGTGTCGTGTTTTCATGAATCAAGTGCACATAGTAATCACAAGAAACAGATAAAATACTCATGTAAACACAGTGTCCTACAGACATCAAGTATGGGATATGGAGGTGATATGTAGAACATTACAGCTTAGTAGCTATGATCCTCTGAACTTCCATTGAATCCTGGGAATGACACAAAGTTACATTCAGCTCTTTTTCTTTGCGTTTTTGTTTTTGTGCATGACAGTGTAAACAGCAATGATGATGGGGGGAAAAAAGAAGAAGAAGAAGAAGAAGAAGAAGAAGAAAGTACAAGTCAACCACAGCACTTCTGATAAATATAACTATGGCATATAAAATTTGGAAAAATATGCATTTACATTCGTAGCAAACATTACACCGTCTTCAATGATAGAAAGAGCTCAGCTCTATGCAAAATACAGTATATTATCATAACTACAATTCAAGCTGTTCAAACATGAAAAGCCCTTGTAACCAAAAATTTAAAACCATATCACAAATATATCTGGAACAGACCACATTACTGCAGTACCCCACCACTTACTTTGCCTCCTTTTCACCTAAACTTGCTTTAACTTAAAATGTGTCTTAAAACATGGAGGCACCAAAGGAACAATAAAAAGCAACATTGAGGAAAAAAAAATAAGAACATTGAAAACAAATACATTCCAACATTCAAAAATTGCACTGAAACAGCTATGGTCGTATTTGATGGTTGAAACATAGTGACCTCTGTTTATCTTCACTGTGAATTACTTATGCTGAAAACTGGCCAGCGGGACAGTAAATGCTTATTTTAACATTAGAGGATTACTGAGCAATGACTGTGCAGTGCAATAGTTTTACTTATTTATTTATTGTACACAAAAGCTTTACTTTTTTGAATAATAGCAGTGTTCAGGCTCATAGTGAGCCATATAACTATAACTGTACATTCGGAATTAAATGCAGCGTATATAGTTCTGCTCTATTTAAATGTCGCGTTATCTTTGCTGTTTATTTTCTGTATTCTAGCTGCACGATTGCTGATGGTTTCGACCTTTAAAGGCTGTACACCACTTACTGATTTAGCTGTACAACAGTTAGAACATGTTAGTATTACACAGTTTACACAGAAAGCAAGCATAGATTCAAGCTCCTGTACCGAGTAACCTCTAAGGAAAGCACTATATTGCAAGTCTACAGGGGTTACTTTGCGACAAAGTGCACATTTTTCATTTTGCCGCACTGCTTACTACTGACTGGGGCTTTGGGGAGAGAGGACAGGTCTTTAGCAGCTCTTTTCATGGCTGTTTTAGAGGCCTGGCCTACTGCCTCTGTCTTCTGCCAGTCCCTCTCCTCTTTCTTGGATGTCATGGTCTCTCTCTTACTTGCAGCAAAAGCACGTTTCTCTGCACCGGTTGCTTTCATGCCACCAGCCTCCTTTTTAACATCTGTCTCAGAGTTAGCTCTGACACGGCTTTTCCTCGCCTGACCTCTGCTGTTTGGGTTAGTGCCAGATTCCTGGGGTAGCTTACGGGCATTGCCTGCAGCCTGCATTTGCCTGTGGTGACTCTTTCCAGCTGAGGGGCTAACTGGGGTGTGAGCCCCTCCCACACTTCCACCTTGCCCTCCTGGGCTCCTACCTTCTGTGGAGGGAGCTCGGGTCTCACTGCTGCTCCTTTTTGTCGGTGCACTGGGTCTGGCTCTGCGCTCAAGCAGTGGGCTGAGTCGTGAGTGGCGCTGGTAGACATAAGCAGAGCAGCTTCCATTGCACAATGGGTAGCGAATGTGACAGTGAGGACAGACTGGAAGGCGGGAGACTTGGTGCTGGGTTGAGGCAGGTGATGGGGGGTTGTTGACAGGTGCAAATGGGAATGCTCGCTGGGTGTGCCGCAGCCCTTTTGGGGAGTTGAGTCGGGATGGTGGAGCTGTGTGAGGCCTAGGTTGATGAGCTGTAGTAGCAGAGGAGAAGCCCTGTGGCCTTGGGCGGCTCCCAGGCAGACGGCTGCTCTCTGCTTGCACCGTTTGAATCTGGAGCCACTCCAGCTGGAGGAGCTTCTCCAGGTACTTCTCTAAGGACCCTACTGGCTTAGGCCGGGGGGCACCACGACCCTCTGTATGCAGAAACACTGCCAGCTGTCTCAGACTCCAACTGTTAAAGGGGGGAGGAAGAAAGTCTGGGTAACTGTAGCTGGGTTTCTCATTCTCATCTTCATCACCCACTGCCCCATGGGGTCCCGGAAAGTCTGGGGGAAAGTCGCTAGAGTTGATGATCTCTGCCCGGAGGTTGAGATGGGGAGGGGTACAGGGAGTGCATGGGGAGGGCAGAACTGGAAGCCTCTCAGAATCTGACAGATCACTTGCACTGTCTGTGTCATCATCTTTGTGGTTGTAGTGCTGCTGGAGTGCCTCGGGGGTGGGAGCTGGGGAGTGCATCAGGGGCTGAGCCGGCACTTGCCGTACTCCTGATATCGGAGAGAGAGGCAGCGAGAGGGCTCGCCGATTTTTTCCCATCCCCCCACGGTTTTGCTGGAGCTCGCTGGTGCATTGGGACACACGTTGATTTTCTCGCTTTTCCTCCTTCCTGTGTGCATAAGATTGCTTGCGGAGCTGAGGTCTCAAATCCCCTTCTTCTTCGGGGCTGTAAGGAGACAGACGGGGAAAAGCTGTTGGGGATTTAGGGATTTACAAAGTAATCGCAAAGCATGCACACCCCCAACTCCACTCTTACCTGGACACTTTGCTTGTATTGCGTGTAGTGCAAGGCTTAACTCTGGCACCTTTTGATTGTGCACCCTGTAAAACAATCTCTCATTACTTCTGCTTTTTGTACACAGGTAGGAACTCATGAGGCAACACTATCTTGCTATCAAATAATAAAAATAATAATGACGTTGTATACATTTACATCCCTTTAATTTATCAGGCTATCATTTACATACTCTGTGCACTGTTGTCACCGTGTCCTTATCTTGACCTGGTCCTGGGAGACCATTTTTCATTTGGCCCACAGATTTCTTCGTCTTGTTACCCTTCTTTGAACTGCAAAAACACAACACGGGTTTGTTAGGATCGCCTTCGCGTCAAGGATACAAATAAAACGAAAAAAAAGAAAAAAAACGTGCAATACCCGTCAGCGTAAACGAGGCCTACCTGGTTACTGTCCCGCTATTTTCGGTATTTTTCACCCGAATCTTCTCTTTGGAAACGACGCGTTTCAGTGTCGTGGATGCTGTGCGCTCCTGCATGATGGGCCCCATGTTGCAGCACAGTGGGGGATGATTGTTGCTTTCGAGTCCGACGCAGTTAGATCACACGGTAGCTAAAGAACCCAACCGACATCTCGGATCACATATTCCAGTCTGATAATTAGGCTAAAAACACCCATTTTCTCAAAAATGCTGCAGTGCATCGTGCGTAGATGTCAAGCGTCCCCTGTATCCGCAGGTTGAAACGCGTCCTCCTAATCTCCGTCGTATGGCCCCGCTGCTCGATCGCAGATCAGCTTTTATTTGAATCGCTTGCTGACAGCTGGCGCGTCTCCTTCCCCGATGTCGTCCTCATCACCATTAAAAATGCGAGACGGTGACACGGCGCAAACGCTTTGTTTGGCTCGCCGTCCCAGTCAGATAGGTTTGTTTACCTGCTGCTGACTGGCTCGCCTGTTCGTGTCGAAGCGAGCGTCAGCGGTGCATCATGGGAGTTGCAGTTAAAAGCGCGCTGGCTTCATTTTAAAGCGTTTGCTGAAGCCCCTTTTTTGCAGAGTCTTGCTTGCAGTCGATAAGCAAATGGAGTGCACAAGATGGGATCCGATGAGGACCGTGTCCCAGAGAAGGAGTTAAACAGCGTGAACTCGCACCCGCTTCATTTAAAGTACTCAATCACCCATGCGACGTCATTCTGGTCCGTGTGTAGTTTCCTGTTAACTGCGAGCACGTCAGCTGATCTGTATAGACCTCACGTTGAATGCATGTATGGGATGTTGGAGAGCGATGAAGGCAGTTAGCAGTTACAAATCAGGCTACGCGGTTGCAACCAATAACAGGCACTACACGCAGCACTGATAATACTACTCTACATGGAGGATCGAGATTGGGCTGCTTCCTACAGCTTATACGTGACTGACTCTTCGCATCTTCACATGGTGAGGTGATGTCAACGTCTGATTGCAGCAAGTGATGTTAAAGGCAGTTTCAGGAATACTGCAGTCATTTAGAGAGGCAGAAAAAGACCGTATGCATGCATGCGGGCACGTACTCCCCGAGTACACGCCCACTCTCTACTGTTTAAACGTCAAAGTTGCTCTGTTGAAAGTTGCTTCATGGCTTGTTGCATTTAGTAAGCTGACGCTGAAGCTTATGCTTTTACTTCCCAACTTTACAGGTGAACTGAACCCCTGCTCTCACCACACATGGATAAAGGGTGGTTTATTGGACTTGAGAGGATTCCTCCAGCACAGTCTGAACAGAGGAGGTCATGTGTTACTATTAACCTGACTGAAATGCTCCGGGCTGACAAGCCTAATGTTCAGAAGAAGCCAGTTCCAATCCGTCCCCCGAGCCCCAGAGTTTCGTTCCCAAAACAACAGTTTCACCGCAGTCTCTCCTGTGAACCTACGCCTAAACCCATCATCCGTCAGCGGTCGCACTCGCTGCCTTCTGCCACTGACAAGAAGAAGCAGTGCAGAAGTGTTGGCGTACGGTTTGTTGACTCTTTGGGACTGGACCTGGAAGACGTCAAGATTTTTAAATCGGGAGAGGATCCACTTGTGCCCCATCATGTTACCTTTAGACTGTTGATGAGTGCAGAGATGGCAGATGGAAGGCATATGGAGATTTCTTTGCCATACCTGAAGCCAGCATTTGCCCAGCAACCTGGAGACCATCCAGGATTCCTGCATCGTCTCCATGAGCAGAAAGTTTGTCTTGAAAGAGTCTTGTGTTTTGAGTTGGGGGTCATCGGAATCACCCAAGTCCTCAATTTGGACTTTGAGAAAGATGTGACGGCTCGTTATTCTTTTACAGGATGGAAGAGTTGTGCAGAAGCTAAGGCCTCTTGGGTGTCCAGCATCACTAAGAACTGTGAGGGCAGAATGGGCCAAATCAGCTGCGATACATTTCGTTTTCATCTGCCTGTACCTCCATTCCTGCAACCAGAAGCAGTGTTAGAGTTTGCCATTCAGTACAAAGTCTGTGGTGCTGAGTACTGGGACAACAACGATGGAAAGAATTATAAATTAATTTGCAAGAACTACAAGCTCTCTGTGCCCAAAGAATGCGAGGATAGCATGGTGCACTTCACTTAGTTAGTATGCACACAAAAGGGAGAAGAGTTTGAGCATTAGAACACTTAATGATTACATGTAGCAATATCTATACAAAAAACACTCGGTAAGTTTTTGGCCGTTTGGGGTCATTTTTGCAATTTTTAACCAATCTGCATAAAAAATACGTTTTTGAGCGTGCTATAGCTTGCCATAAAATCCTTTGGGATTTGTCTTTTTGGGGGGTATTTTATGTGTAATGTTAATGGCAATAAGATAAAATGCACTGATGGAGGCATAACCACACACAGGAAACTGTTGATGCTCTTAGTAGTGCTGGCATAATAGCAGTTTGAATAAAACACACACACACACAAGTGCACTTACACCTGGTGCCAGCTTTACTGCCACTTGTATTTTTGTTTGTAAAAATTGCACTGAATTGTTATATTTTCCTAATAAACGTTGCACTTCAGTGTGGGAACATCCCATACAAAATTTTTGGGTTAAAATGAAATTAATGGACTTCACAGTCCAGGCTTTCTACCAGCTGGATGTTGGTCTTCTGGACCAGTTTGCTGAGTTTTTAGGATCTGTATTTGGAAGTCAAATGTTGTCAAAACATGCCATAGATACAGTGTACATGTTTCTCATGTGCTAAGCCATACTCTTGAAATGCAGGAGTCCTGCATCTCAAATGGGCTTGAAGATGCCTTTCTAAAAAAAAGCTGTTATGTATATTCCTAATTACAGAATACTCGAACAAACATATTTTGTAAATATTTCAGCTATAAGAGAATAAATGACTTTACTCTCAAGGGAAATGTAATGTTTTATATTTGCAAAAGTGGCAGATTCTAAGTAGCAGTAGGCCTACCACACTGTGAAAATACCCACTACCAGCTAAAATCCTGTATTCTAAATCTTACTTAGGTGTGAATATGCAAGTATTATCGCGGGAAACATGCTTCCTGATTGTGTTTTCCTTTTATATGTGTTGTTGTTGTTGAATTGCTGTTGCCCTGATACCTGTGTGTATTGCATTTCACTGCTGTAATGTTGGCAGCACGGTGGTTAGCACTGTTGCCGCACAGCAAGAAGGTCCTGAGTTCAATTCCACCATCAGGCCGGGGTCTTTCTGTGTGGAGTTTGCATGTTCTCCCCGTGTTTGCGTGGGTTCTCTCCGGGTACTCCGGCTTCCTCCCACCGTCCAAAGACATGCAGCTTGTGGGGATAAGTTAATTGATTAATCTAAATTGTCACTAGGTGTGAATGGTTGTCTGTCCCTATGTGTTGGCCCTGCGACAGACTGGCGACCTGTCCAGGGTGTACCCCGCCTTTCGCCCTATGACAGCTGGGATAGGCTCCAGCGCCCCCCCGCGACCCTGAAAAGGATAAGCGGAAGCGAATGGATGGATGCTGTAATGTTGAAAATGGGGCTAAGTTTAATTGCTGCTGTGTAGTTTATTGCAGAACAATGGGTTCTATAGGAAGATGTTAGTAGGGTTCCCCAAAAATTGATTCTGTTCATCTAGACGTAGCGTTTTCAGTTAGTAGTGTTGTTGTCTTGTCAGAAAAACAACCATGTTTTTAGCTTTGTAAGTTTTTTTTTCTTTTTTAAAGGTGTTTAAATACACTATGAGGACAAAAGTATTGGGTCGCATGTCTCACTCTTTGAATTCATGTGTATAAAACCAAGCATCTATAGCCATGTGTTCAAGCTTAGCAAACATTTGTAAAATAATTGGTAGGTTTGAAGAGCTCAATTTGAATTTGAGCGTTGTATTGTAATAGAATGCCACATTTTTAAAGAGTCATTTCCTGGAAATTTTTCCCACCTAGATATTCCAACATTAACCGTAAGAGGTATTTTTGAAAAGTGGAAGTATTTAGAAACCACAGCCACCCACGAAGTGGCAGACCATATAAAGTTACACACCGGGGTTGCTGAGACTTGAGGCACATGGTCCCTAAAAGCTGGCAACGCTCTGCTGACTCAGTAAGTGCAGAACTCCAAAACTCCTCTCGCACTAACATAACACCAGGCGCTTCTTGATATGGGTTTCATGGCCAAGCATCTCCTGTAGGTGTAGTTTATCAGGAAGATATCAAGTTAAAAATCACATGGGGAGGATAGTATAACTGGACAGAAAGGCAAGATCCTGAAAAGTAACTGATAAATAAAGCAGTCAGACAACTGTAGTAGAAAAGAAAGTTTAAAAATGTAAACAAAATTAAGTACAAATACTTACAGTTTACCCTTTAATATTACTTACTATACCGCAAAACAGAAAAAAAAATCTAAACATGGTTCTCTTGTCCCTGGTGAATAAGCAGATCTATTTCAAATCAATCAGACTAAAGAGCTGCTGAGCAACAGTGCCTGTATACAGGATTTTTTAAAAATGTATTTAATGTTGTCTTACTGTATTATGAACGGAGTCGACAGTTCCGGCTGGACGTAAACCCTCTCGCGCGTGCGCAAAGAATGCAAAGACTTCGCGCGCGTTGTGGGGATCAACTGAAAAACTTAAAATAAGAAGCAACCTGTCATGTCCTCTTTTTGTGCCAAATTTGACAGCACAGTAAGTAGAACTGTGTATATAATATTATCTCCCTAAGGTATGTAGTAATCCCGGGCTAGCTGATGGTTATGGTCTGAAATTATTGTTGGCTCGGAGAAAGTTTAGCTTCTATTAGCATCAAAGTTAAGCTAGCTAACTTCAATAAAGCCTGATGAGGTCATAAAGGTTAGCAGCATATCTCATGACATAGCTCAGATTGCATGTACTGCAATACATTTATATAAAGCATCTCATGTAGGCTCATGTGAAGATAACAGATAACTTAGTGTTTAGCTTTTTGATGGCAAATTAATTAAACTTCTGAAAATTACATGTCAATACATAATTTATATAAAGTGAGGCCTTTTAAGATAGGCCTATGATTGGTAGGCTTATGTCTGCTGTTTTTGTTTACAGTCAATTTAAAGAGGCTAAAACCTTTTCTCACAAGGATGGCACCTGCACAGAACACGCAGGTGGGAATGCATACACTTTCTCCCTTTGTAAATATTCCTATCACTTAATTAATCAATATTCAGGCCTAATGGTGAAAAGTAAATTGTATACTTCAACCTTTTAGTTGGAGCACATAATCAGTGAGGCGGTAAAGTCCGGAGATGTCCGAGCACTGGATGTGTTCTTGCAGAGGGAGATTTATGAAGAGACTCCCATGAAATGCTCTCAACAGTTTCTCAGCAAATTGGATAAACTTATCTGCAGGGTGAGATAAAACTCAAAACACCCAGTTACACAATATGATGCTGCGTTATCAGTGGAATTAATGAAACCATATTTATGTTCCATAGGGTTTGGCTCAAAAAGACCCCAAATTGGCCAGTCTGGGATTTGCCAGTCTTTACAAGTGTGGAAAACACCTAATACTACCTGGTGGTGACCAAGGACTTTTGGGGTTAATAGCACAGGGTCTAATAAAAAAGATGAGTACACACGTAATAATACATAAAGGTACATACTATGTGGGTTCTGTAAACTTATGTAGTCTGATTGAACCCTTTTTTGTGCAGATGGTGGAGTGGTTTGAAAAATGCAGACAACTGTGGATTCAGTGTGGGCTGCAGTGGGATGAGAACTTAATAAACCTCTCTGAAGACTTTTTAAATGCTTTAACGGTGAGCTAACTTGTAATAAGAAACACACTTTGTAAAGTCAACTGTTTCAGTATTCTTAATTTGGTTTGTTTTTACTTTCTCTATGTTAAAGGTGGTTCATCAGGCATGCGAAGAGGGTATGGATTTACATATCTCTATGTACTGTAGATAATGACATCTTTTTATACTGTTTAAAAAAGTGAATGGGGACATATTTAAGTGTAAGATGGATAAGAGTTTCTAACTTAAAAGAGGTTTCTAATAAGTTTACAGCAATTTAATGATGACTCTGTATACAAGAAGAAAGTATTGACTTTGTCTGCTATACCATGTTTTATTTTATTTTTGCAGGGACATACAAAATCACTGAGTCCTTTCTGTATCCTATTGGCCAGTTGGCTGTTGACCCTAGAATCTACGTCCTGATCCAGAAAGAGGTGTACAATAGTTTATCTAATTTTTTTAGAGTAACACTGAACCTGAAAGACCTCTGTTTGGTACAGTTGATTAACTGCCTAATAATGTTTTAACAGGCAATTCGGAAATTCAACTTAATTCTGGATAAAATCCCAGTGGAACTTAAAAAAGACACGAAGATCCTAATGTCACAAGAGGCCTCTGATATCATGTATGTCACTGTAGTTTTCTTAAATGATTATTAACATTAAATGTAATACAATTGGAAACATGAATGATCACAATCAAGAATGAATTACCACATTTACTAATTATTAAGAAGTAGATTGCTCATTTGATTACAGGATCAAACTGGCTGATCATATAATGGATGTTGGTGGTAAGCTTTCTTTATACATTTCTCTTTACCCAGAATTACTATTAAAAATAAAATATGTAAAACACTGTTTCTGTTTCCCCCTCAGACTATGACTTTCAGTCATCCTTGATGGAGGCATTGTGCAGAATGGCCACAACTGACCAGAGGAAGGAACTTGCATATAAATGGTTCAGAATGAGCCTTGTGGCCAGTGCATTTGCCAAAATACGTGATTCTGAATTTGAGACGGTAACATTAGTCTGTTTTGGTTTATTTTATATTTGCTTTTGATTTTTGATGTACTGGTGCTGTTGCTGATGTTGTTTATGCTGAAAGGCTGCATAAAATTGAATGCAAGTGTGTGTGATTTCAGGCTTGTCGTACATTTCTAAACATGGTGAATGGGATGCAGGGAGACAAGAGAAGGTACATACATAACAGAGCTCAGTGCTATACAACACATGTGGTTTCATTTGTAACTTTCATTCTAAACCTGAGTTAATATGAATTTTCATATGTTTGTCTATTTCTCTAAGAATATTGCATTTTACAAATTCTTTCGCCAAGCTCTTTTAATAAAAATCTCTAATTACATTCTGTATTTGGGCCATATTGACTGGAAAGATTTACTGAAAGTTCTGATGACACAATTCTTTGTGCACTGTAGGGTGTATTCC